GACAGAGTTTCGAATTCTATACTCTCCACATAATAACGTAGTTGAATCTCTCTCTCTCTTGACTTGCTATGTCGCAGAGTTAAACTCAGATAGAACTATAAGTCGATTAAACAGAGAAACCAAGGTTGGGGACCTCGCGTTAAGTCTTTGTTTGAATCTGACTTTGACAAAAGACCATAAACACATAAATGTGAACTTAAGTGGAACTTAGGCCTCACATTATAGGCGGCAGGAAGGTCAGGATGATAAATAAACTGAGAGCTTAGGACTTGGTAGAAATTTTTTTTAGAAAATTTACAAGTTAGAATGGGCTTGACCTTGTGAAATTTTCAAACAATTTACAAATTTGCAGTACCCAAGGTATTGATGAAGAAGTATTCCGAGGTACATATTACTCGAGATGACCAAAGCCAAAGTTTGTCAAGCTTGGTAGGTTAGGAAATGTGAAATGTCCTTTGATAGAAGACAACAAGTGGTGAAGTAAGAAGCATGCTTGACTGATAAGTTTTAAAGAATAACACTTGTAAGAATATTTTGAAAATATTCTTTAAGTGTTGCCGAGGTATTCCAATTGTTGGTGAGACAAACAGTCAAGGTTTATATCCGACGGTACTATAACCAAAGTGATTACACAGTTAAGGATGTATTTTGAAAGAATTGTAATATTATTCTAAGTATGGAGCATACAAAGTTGTGAAGACAGATGAAGCATTTGCATTCAAACACTTAGTTCAAAAAGCAAAACTTTGCATTTATAAGAAGAAAACACGGTTAAAAAAAGCACTGCGACTTGGCCATAGAAAAACTACTTGTTCAAAATTAAAAGAAGCACGAAACAACAAGAAGGTTACAACTAAAAAAAACAAAGAACAAATAAGGGGAAATATTTCTAAAATAGATGTTCTGTGTCGGCGGTAGGCTGTGTTTCGGCCTCAACAGATAGTTGGGAAGCTCTCGGTAGTCTTTCAGCCTCTATCTCGGCGTCGATCTTGAGAAGAGTCTGGTCAAAGCTCTTTCTCAGACGATCTGTACCTCGATTTCATATGTGGTCTTCTTAGGAGAGGGCACTCTTGGTAGACCTCGTCTTCCTCATCTTGAGTCAAGTCAAGGACCTTGCTCGTTCAGAGTAGCGGACTTTGGCCCCAGTAGCAGCCTCCTCTTTATCTAACATTCATTTAGTCTTAGTTGTCCTCATCTCAGCTTCGTCCTCGGAACTTCTTGGGGACGATGGAAAAAAGGACTGGGAGTGGCTGGATGTCTCTAGGGAGAAATCCATTTAGGACAAAAAGTTTATTTAGAGCTGCCGTTGAGCCGAGGTAAAAAAGGCCTTGGTTACAAGCTTGTTGACTTGGGCTTTGTATGCATCACGGACGGCAGCCTGTCCTCTAAAAGAATGCCTTCTAGTCGGCGGTTTTGATTTCGGCCTTCCTTGGTGGCCAAGGCTTCTTTGGAGCTCTGCCTGCGCTTCGGCGGTTTTGTTTCAACCTTCCTTGCCTCGGCTTTTGAGAACCTCGGCCATAGCCTCTGCCCTTTGCGCTCTCCTCGGCCTGATTCTGAGCATTTTTTGCAGCCTTGGCTTGATCCTGTTAAACCTTTCATTTTTGCCTTTCGAACCATTATTCAAGGAGGCAAGAAAGCCAACAGGAGTGTCTTGAGTTTTCTTTGTTAACTCCTTTCTTCATCTCCTCGGCCTTCAATCGCCAAAGGGAAGTGGACATGCTGGATGGCCTAAAAAGAAAGAAACAAACAAGTTAGTAAAATCCCTAAGTATGAAGAACTTAAAGTAAAGCCAAAAGTACAAGTGTTAGGACTTACCAAGACGAATGCTTGATCATCAAAAATTTTTCTATATTCATTTGATCTCGCCATGCGATTGAGATCAATTGGAAGGAGCACAGGTGTGGAGAGAACGGCGTCGACTCGATACTATCGATTGGCGCTATTCACTGTCTTCATTGAGCCGATTATCACCAATCATGATTATAGGGGCCTAAAAGGCTCGATCAGCTTTGAAGCACTTGGGCTTGCTGCGGCTTTGGGACCTCAGCTTCGTTCAACCGAGCAGGTATCGGATGCTCGGCCTCGGCAGCGCTCTTCTTGGCATGAGGCACTTTCTCAACCTCTGCCTAATCTCGAGATCGGCACAGTGTCTTCAGTGTCAATTTGCAGTCACAGTAGTTTTTGCCTTAGCTTGGGCTGGGACTCTGAATGAGAGAAAAAAGATGACAATAACCACTCCTGGCAAGCTCGCGGCCAGAAGGTCTATCGAGCAATGGCTTTTGTCTACGGCCCATGTGGTTGGCGATTTTAGCAACGTGACTCTTGTGCCGAAGTGTATTGCTGCAAAAAAAAAAAAAATTAAAAAAAAAAAAAAAAAAAGAAAAAAAAAAAAAAATATAAAAAAAAAAAAAAAAAATAATAAAAAAGGCGCATTTAGCGGGATGGCTGGATCGTAAGCCGACGCCTCAGATTCTCAATGTTTGCGGTTACGAGGTTCTGCGGCGCGGAACATTTGCTGGGACACGACGTACGGCATCAACGGGCTGGGATGTCGGGATAAAGTTGGGGGGGCAAAGGTTGATGCAGCTCAACGTGATCTGAAGAGAGGCCTGGTCTGGCCTTGCGATGAAGTGACTTGGTGAGTGGAAGCAGACGGAGGAGTTCTGCTGTGCCTAGGAACGCTTCGAGCAAGTCTGACTTGTATGTTGAGATATAATATTGAGTAGTAGAGGGCTTTGCCCTGGTTGACAGACAGGCCCATGCTCCTTTTTCAGGTCTTTGCTGGGAAAAAGGCTGGCGGAGTCTTTGATGGGTTTGATTGGAGAGTTGCAAAGAGCAAAAAGCAGACATTAGAACAGATAAGAGAAATAAGTGATAAAGTTCTTAAACAGAGAAGTTAACACTTAGGTTCTTACCCTCATCCTCTTTAAACACCGATCGGCGCAGAGGAAAGAGATGAAGATCATATCAGGACAAACTCTCGAGTTGCTAAGATGATCAGTAATCATGTTCTTCAGCACCCTGTGGGTCTGGGAGGTTGGCTATGAATTTTGTAGTAGTAGATCTGGGGCTTTGCAGGTAATAAATGTAGCCTTTTTTAGACTTTAGGGCCACACATGGTATAACAAAAATTGGATGTCGGCTGAATATTATTCCGAGCGTTTCTTAATGGTATGGCGATTTATACCATTGAAAACCCTAGTAGGAATTGATGGCTAGCTGCAAGGGTTTTGAGTTGGTAGTAGTGAAGGACTTCCCTAAAGAGAATGTCTAAAGGAAACTTGAAGTCATACTTAAAATGAATATAACAACGGGGGGGGGGGGGGGGAAAAAAGAGGGGGGGGGGCAAATGGAGTCTCTCATCAGGCATGATTAGAGTTCCTCCTCCTTCAGCTAACCTGATTCTGACGCCAGTCAGGTGGGATAGAGAACTCTCTCCTAAGTACTCGATTTTTTTTTTCGGGGTCTACCATTCACCTAAACATACCCATGATGTCGGCTTAAATGAAGACTGGTGTAAGATTTCAGAAGAATGATTGGTATGGTTTAAAGACCTCGGCCTAAAAACCCTTAAACAGGTACTAGAGGTAAAGGGATTTTGAAGATTTAAGGGGAATTTTTGTTTCAATTTCCTAAGAATGTGATTTCTATTCAAATCCCAAACCTAAGTCTATAAAAGAAACAAGAATCAATGGCAAGAATTTTGGAAACAAAACAAGAAAAGCAGAAAAAAAGAGCATGATTAGAAATTAGGAAAACAAAGAGATTCAAGAATATGGAAAATTATGCAAAAACAACTGAGTGAGTGTGTTGCAAGCAGTAGGCAAGAACATAAGCTATACGATGCATATAACAGATTCAAGAAACTAAGGTTTAATGTTTTAAACAGGCAAAAACAAAATTCAGAGATGAGTAAGGAGATTGCATAGAAAGAGACCAAAACAAGTAGTTGCATAAACAATCATTTAAAAAAAACAGTGCAAAGAACTGAAATTTGAAGAGAAAAAAATCAAAGAGACTTACCAATTTGAATCCATATGTGAGATTAACCGGAATCAGATAGATGACTTGAACGATCAGAGTCAAAATGATGAATGGTGCGCCGGCGTGCACGAAAAAAGGCAGTTGCAAAAGCTTGAGAGCTTGAAAATGGCGCTTTTGAAAAGAGGAAATGTAGAGAGAGAGAGAGAGACTCTGAGAGACGAGGGGAAATTGTGAATTGCAAAAGTGAAAAGACGGAAGAGAAGGAAGAGGTTTTGTCAAAAATATATGAAAAGGGCGGCAAAAAACATAATTAGGCATGCTTGACGACGTGTTGTCAAGCGGCTCGTGTTGTAGAAGCGACCCAACAAATAGCCACATGTCAGGTATGAACCAATGAGAAAGGAGCCGATTGGAGGAAAAATGTTGAGAAAAATCGTGTGTGACAGTTCATGCGCAGTCAAAACTCTGGAGTTCTGATTAATGAAGCAAAAACCTCGGTGCTAGAGGAGCGAATCTCGGTTAAAGATATTTTAAAAGAATTTGACTTTGGTTCTTGATCATTGGTAAAGATAGACATTTGATTCCTAGGATACTTAAACCGACGAGTCATGATTCTGGTTGAATGGAAGAATGAATTTTAGACCGACAGAACATATGAATAAGCAATAGTAGGTTTCCATCACCTTAGGTTGCCGAGGTAATAGAACCTTAAGGAGGCAGTTGTGGCGGGCATATTTTTGTGAAAGTTGACACACGTGGCCAAAGGACGCCAAGTGTCAGCCGAGGGTGCCACGTGGCCTGGTCTTGATTACTGAAGGTGATCTGCGCTAGGCCGAGGTTTATCTGTGGAGATATGGAATCCGAATTTCAGCAGTAAGGGCAAAGAGCTCCTAGAATAGAGGAGGATCTTAGTCTGGAATAAAGATAAAACTTTTAGGAAGTTATATTCCTATCTAGCTGGAGGAGTCAGGATGAG